GGATAGACATAAAGATCAATAGAACAGAGTAGACACCCCAGAAATAGACTCCTACAAATAGAGTATTGATTCATATATCTAATTTTTGACCAAAGTATAACAGTAATTCAATGCAGAAAAGATAGTTTCTAACAAATGACACCGGAAAAACTGGCTATCTATATTTAAAACATGAACTCGACACATACTTTGTGCCTTAAACAAGAATTAACTCCAAATAAACCACACACCTAAATGTAAAGTGTAAAACTATAAAACCTCCTGAAGAAAATATAATAGAAAATCTGATTGACCTTGGGTTTGGTGATTAGTTTTTGGATACATCACCAAAAAATACTATCCATGAAAGAAAAAATTGATAAATTGGACTTTATCAAAATTAAAAAACTTCCTGTGAGGCACTGTTAAGTGAATTATGAAAAAAACTTTAGACTGGGAGAAAATATTTACAAGTTACGCAGTAATACAGGACTTGGTCTAGAAAATACGGTGGTACCTCAGTTCACAAACTTAATTCTTTCCACTATTCTGGTCGCAAATCGAATTGGTTATGAAAATTCTGTTCTTGCCAGGGATTTAGCTCAGTGGCACCATGCCTGCCTCGCAAGTGCAAGGTCCTGAATTCAATCCCCGGCACTGCAAAAAAAAAAAAAAAAAGAAAAAAGAAAATTCAGTTCTCAACCAATTTAGTTTGTGACCAGAATTGTGAAAAGAATTAAGTTTGTGAACCAAGGCACCACTCTATAAAAACTCTTAAAGTCCCAAAATAAGTAAAAAACTCAATCAAAAATAGGCAAAGAATATGAACCAATACTTCATCACAGAAGATATATAGAAGACAAGTAAACATGTGAAAAGATACTTAATATTATATGTTGTAAGGGAAATGCAAATTAACACTAAAAATGAGATATTATTACACAGAGGACAGAATGTACAAAACCCAAAAACCCTAACAATAACAAATGCTGATGAGGATTTGAAACAAAGGAACTTTCATTCATGGTTAGTGGGAATACAAAATGGTATAGACATTCTGGAAGAGAATGTGGCTTTTACCCATAAAGTTAAACAAACTTACCATACTACCTACCAATCACACGGTATTTGATGTTTCTAGCAGTTTTATTCATAATTGCTAAAAACTGGATACAATATCAACAGAAGAACAGATAATTCTGGCATATCCAGGGCCAGGGATTTAGCTCAGTGGTTCCGGTTCCTGCCTCGCAATTGCAAGGTCCTGAGTTCAATGCCCGGTACCAAAAAAAATGTACTCTCTGGCATATCCAGATGAAATTCTATTGGAATACTATTTGGCAATAAAAAGAATGGAGATTTTAATTTATGTAACAACATGGATCAATTATAAATATTTTACTAATGAAAGAAGTCATTTTATATTAGTCCATTCATATAGCATTCTGGAAAAGGTAAGAAAAATAGAGGGAAAACAAATCAGTGTTTACTAGGGTTTAGAGGCTGGGGAAAGTGGTTCATTGTGAAAGGGATGTACAGGGGAATTTTAACTTGAAGGCACTGCTTTGTATAATATATTGGTAGGCAGATAGGTAACTCTGGATAGCACTGTACATCACGTAGGGTGGACTTTAATAGGCAAACAACCACACAAAATCAAGCAGGATGTCAAGGATTCCAAGATACAATGTACCCTATGGCAAATGAATATAATTATATTAAAAACAAATTATATAACTACACTCAAAGATGGAGAAAAATAAGAGCTGACCTTAGTAACATTGGAAAGTCGAGTTCTAATGGAAACTGCAAGATTAAAACTGTTAGGTTGGGCTGGGGATTTAGCTCAGTAGTTCTGCCTCCTGCCTCACAAGGGCAAGGTCCTGAGTTGAATCCCCGGTACCAAAAAAACAAAGAACAAAAAACTGTAAGGTTACTGAATATAAACATTAAAGTCTAATCGGTATATTTTTTTCTCATGGAAAAGTGGGTTAACAGTTCTGAAACTGCTTTAGAGCTATACTGGAATTGAACAAATAAGTAAATAGATGGTGGCTTGTGGGAGCCAGGTTTCACACTGTCAGAGAGGAAATTTACAAATAAACAAAAAGGGAAGGATAGAATATATCCTCTTGTGCTGGATTATAGCTAGAGATACCAGTATGAACACTCATGTTTAGCTTTCCATAGCTCCTATAAAAGCTGTCCATACCCATATTTATATATGCATAGATAAATGGTTATAGTTAGGTGTGTATGCATGCTTTTGTATGCACATTTGTAAATTACCTACCTGTACCTGTTGAGGTCCTGAAATCAGTGACACCCTAGAAGCAATTAGTACCCTCAGTGCCAGGATTTTGTTTCCCAAACTCCATTTAGAACTAAGGAACCTTGGAGAAATGGTTGATTCTAGGGCTGGGGCAGTGAAAACAAAAAATTAACAGCAACAGAAAGTAAGGTGCTTAAACAATACAGAAGGATGCAGGCATGTCGAACGAACATAGGAGTGAACCTAAAAGAGCTTCCAAAGCTGCCAAAAGTCAGAATGATTTGAGCAACAAAATAATTAACAGTATTTTTATCACTCAAAGGATAAAATAAATATATGTGAATCCATACTTATATACATAAATAAGCAGAAGTGGGGAAACAAACCTTCCTCACAGAAGAATTCTAGATAATGTATGTAGATATTCCTCCCTTTAGGACGTGGAGCTTAATTTTCCCTTCTTCCTACCTTGAGAATACATTGGACTTAATGAGCTACTCCCAAAGGATAGAGCATGGAAAGGGAAAATAATAACTTCACAGTGGAAAAATTTGTCAAGCACTGCCTAACCCAAGTCAGCAAGGTTAACATCACTAGAGATAAGTCATCGTGATGTCCCGCATCCTCTGCTATGATATGATTAGGATGGCAGTTCACCTTGCTGTCATTCTTCCATAAAAACCACACTATCTTAGAATAATTAAAGAAAAAGAGACAAACACAAAACAAGGGATAATCTATAGAGAACCTGACTAGCAAGCCTCAAAATTGTCAAAATCTTCAACAATAACAACAAAAAGCCATGACAAACAAGGAAAGATTGAGAAAATGTCACAGACAGGAAAACACTAAGGAGATATGATAGCTACATGGAATGTAGTACCTGAATTAGATCTTGAAAATTAATGGGAAAACTGGTGAGATCAAAATAATGATTCCAGCTAATAGCAATGCAGTAATGTTGATTTCTTAGGCTTAACAAATTAACCCTGGTAATAGAAAACAATAAGATTGGGGAGGCAAATATAATGTGGGGTATATGGAAACTCTGTACTGCCTTTACAATTTTTCTGTAAATCTAAATTATTCCAAAATAAATTTTACCTTTTAAAAAATGACATCCTACTTATAAATTAAAATGCCTTGACAAAATCTAAATGACAAGTGAATCTGAATAACTCATGAAAGAATCTTAAATTTAAAAAGTTTAAAAACTATATATACTTACATAGACATAATTATCAACCTATTAAACAAGAGATGCACAGAAGATCAGAAGTAGAGATACTAAGATATTAAAAGTAGTTAACTCTTAATGCTGAGTGCAGAGATATTTTTCTATCTTTTTTGAATTTCTCAAATTTTGTACAATGAACATATATGAGGGGGAAATTATATTGTACATTTTAAAAATGACCTCATCGCTTTACAGTAGTATGGCTCCAGACTGTTCTGTGATGTGTCACTTGGTACTCTAGAGTGAGATATATGTTCCCACTCAGCACACTGTCCCTCTTCTGGAGACTCATAACATCTGGTAGGATGTTAAAGGTGCTGAGAAGTCAACTAACAAAGAAATTTTAAACTTTATCTTAACTAGCATTTCCAAAAACTATTTAACCACAGAACGTATACTTTCTCAAAACATCTCAGCTATCTCAGAAACCACTAGGCTTACATAAACATGTGTTGGAAAACCAGTTTGTTTTTGCTTGGTTTGGTTTGGTTTTTTGAGATAGAGCCTCACTATGTGGTTTAGGCTGGCCTGGAACTCACTATGTAGCCCAGGCTGTCCTCTAATTTGCAGCAATCCTCCTGCCTCAGCCTCCCAAAAGCTGGGATTACAGGTGTGCACCACCATAACCAGCTTCCCTCACCACAGTTTTTTCTTTTTTTTTGGTACCGGGATCGAACTCGGGACCTTGGCGCTTGCGAGGCAGGCACAAGAACCACTGAGCTAAATCCCCGGCCCCCCTCACCATAGTTTTTAAGGGAAGAAACAAGTGTTTTTAGAGATTTCTTAGATGGTCTTAGAAAAGGAAGAAAATGCCTCTAATTTCTCCAAAATCGTCCTGCATCTGCTTTCTGTGACTTTCTGATCTCTTCTGTCCAGTGCAGCACACAACAGTAAATACTCTATTTCACTGTCTCTCACAGATGTGTACTTTTAGATCTCATCTTCCCAACTAGAATGGGGGAAAAAACTGAAAGAGCTTTCTCTCTTATTTCTTCTGTGTGTTTTCGTCCCCTTGTTCACTCACTTATTGACCATTTGATGCATGTTTGCTGAGTGCCTGCTGTACTCTGGGCACATTGCTAGCCAGTGCAACCGTGAGCAGCACTAGAATGCTCCCTTTATGCTCATGGAGATGAAGAAATGAATGAAGCAGCCACAAAACAGACAGACACAGAAGCATCACAAGCGTTAACAGTGCTCTGAAGGAACAATCCCAGAGGAGAGTGACTGGACCTAACTTTGGGAGAGAAGTGTGGGCAGAGCAGGAAAGGCTGATCTGAAGAAGCCACGTGTGAGCTAAGATCTGAAGAATGTGTAGGTTTTCACTAAATACAATGGAGAAAAAGAGGTGGAGGTTGTGCTCGCTTCGGCAGCGCGTATGCAAAAGAGGTGGAGGTGAGAAATGATTATGCCAGACAGAAGTTCCAGGGAGAGAAAGCAGACAGCGTCACACGATCACACACAGTAAAACAGGCTGCCACCGGCAGGTGACTGACCACCAACGTCACTAACCATTTTCTTCAATCTCCTCTCCTCCCGTTTTTTCTCAAGCTGAGCCTCTTTTTCTTTTTCCTCTCTCTTCTGTCGTTCTTCTTCTTGGGCCTTTAACTGGGCCTAATTGAGATGAGAATGCAGAAAAATCAGAACCCTCAATCTTTATGCTATAAGGTCTTTTGAGCTGAGGCAAATTGAGACTCTACCAGAGTGCCTGTCCTGTGTTTGGAGTAAGTCTGCACTTTGTGATGAAAGTACAAAACCCAACTAACATGTCATTAGTTGTGTGACTTAAAAGGTTATCCAGCTAGGTACATTCTTGTAATGCCAGCACTTGGGAGGCTGGGGCAGGAGGACTGCCATGAGTTCAAGGCCAGACTGGGCTGCATAGTGAGTTCAGAACAAGCCTAAACTACAGAGTAAGACATTATCTCAAAAATGAAATAAAAGCCCCCCCCAAAAAAAAGTTCTCCAAAAGTATCCTTTCCTCCTTGGCAAGGTAAGAATGAGACTGAGCATGAATAAGACTATTACTTTTTCATCATAAAATGATCATTTTTTAGTTCTTCACCTATGAAATACTAATCCAGCATGGAGCAAATTGGTTTCCTTTAATTTCACCAACTCTTCCCCTCAAACTGCTAGAACTGTTAATTTTTTCCCGGTAGGTGCAAAATTTCCTTCTGACAGTCTAGGTCAAAACATTTGAAGGTAACTATTCTCCTTTGTAAACTCATTAAGTCACATATTTACCTATATAATCCTAAGTGTGAATTTTCTAATTTTTTAGGTCATATTAACTTCTCTAACATTTCCTTCCTTCTATACTAATAATGTCGATCCCCCTCCACCTGATTTTTCTGAAACTGTCACAGAATTCCAGGGCACAGGCCACAGGCCATTTCCAAAGTTGGTCTGACTCGACTGTTTCCGGAGGCTTAAATAAGATAGATTTCATTTTTTTAACAGAAAGATTTAGACAAATCCTTTTTCTTGCCTCAGTTTACATTCTGAATTTATTACCAATTTCTCCTCTTCTTGTTTTTTCTTCTTTTCTACCAAGATCCGCCTGCGTTCACCTCGTTGAATTGCTCTCTCTTCCATGGCTAAAAAATAGTAACAGAGTTCCAATATAAGATATATGCGGAAGACTGCAGAAGAAATGTCTCTATCTCACTACAACATTTGGGGTACTGTCAGGATTTTCTTGTAACTTATGTTTTTTTTTTTTAAAAAAAGATATATACTCTGTAGGTTAAAGACCTACGCTCTCATCTTTAGCAATGATGAACAATTTGTAGGTTGCTTTTGTTTATATTTTTATAAGAAAAACTTTTTACTAGTTTAAATAATACCACTGGATGACAGTCTTATTATATGAAACTCAGAAAAAAAATTAATTTAATTATATCTTTAATGAACAAAGAAAACTTTCACTACATTTAATAAATACTTTGGAAGTAGAATCGTTCCTTACATCCCATTTTAAGTGAGCCTGCTAATTTTTCTTAAGTTATTGTCATATGTCTGTATAAATTTAACCAAAACAAACAAAATAAAGTTTGGGGTCATGATGAATACATTTTAATCTAGTTTTAAGACCTGGATATCCAGATGGGCAGGAAATGGAATTGTACCAGGCATTTAAAGAACTGGCATCAGAATGAATTTGAGTGTCAGACTCCTGTTCTCGACAGTCTATTAAATATCGATCCAAAAGAAACAAATGTGCAAGATGCTCTGATAATATGACTCTGTAATCAGTCAGGGCTTTCACAGGAAGGGGGGCACTGGCAGGAGGAATACCAAGTTCTGCTCACCTAAGCCAGCCAATAGCTACTTTCAGTTCCTTGCGCCATGTTACAGAGAAGAGAATTTAAGTCCAAGTTTTAAGAATAAACAAAAACTCATCAAGTTATTTCTTACAGATACTAAGTGTCTGTTTTGCTACATAGAAGAGTGGTGGTGCCACAGATGGTGGGAGTGAGACTGTCCTTAAGAGGCAGAAATCGACTAGAGGATTAAAGCAAGAGAGACCTGAGAAGCAGTCTCCAGTAATATGCCTTTTCCTCATACTTTCCAGATCGAATCATTAAAGACTACTTGAAAAGTAGACTGGGATTCTAAACAGCTAACTCCTTGCTCAAACAATAATTTAAAAAAACTTATTGCTGTGAACTGGGCATTTCCAGATCAGCTGTAGTGGTGGGCAATGACACCATAAACTACTGTCCTGGGAGACAATCAGCACAGACTGACAATTTCTTCCTTAATAGGAACTGTCAGGAGGCACAGTGTCCTTCAGATGATATCTCTTCTTGTTAGGGTAGCAATCTTTCCACAAAATATCAGATTTATAAGCCACAGTGTAATTGTCAAAGTGCTGACCCCCTTATAAACTGGTACAATCAGTGACTAAGTATATGATGAAAACAATTAGCAGATTCACTATGTGGGTTCTGAGGAATGCTTTTATCCTCAGAACATTGTTTAGGTTTAAAATAAGGGCTTCTATATGCACCAAAATGTTATCAAATTAAGATAGCTGACATATATTTCATTACTAAAATTTTATCATCAAGGCATAACTATAAAATGATGTATTAACGTGACTTGGACTGCTAAAAATTGATCATTATTTTAGCACTAACAGAACAATAACATCAGTGTGTAGAATTAGTGGCTACTTGCAGTTTTCTTATTTGTATACTTTTCCCAATCCAAATACCACATTACAGTAAAAGGATACACTTTTCAACAATTTGTGAGTGTGTGTGTGTGTGTGTGTGTGTGTGTCTGTGAGCTGGGAAGGCCAGAACGGTTGGCAAAAGAGACAGGAAAGAAAAGGAATGGTGAAAGGAATTTGTACTCTGTTCTTCCCATTCTAACCAAGCCTCAAAACTTAAGAGTGGCCAGGACTCAGTCCAAGTCATATTCTATTCCTGGCATTCCTGGAGAGAAGACAAACACCATCAAGACAGCCCTGCCTTTCAGTATAGGATGGGGTGCCATCAGCTGCTTTGGGTTCCTTTTGGGTCCAGAAAGAGAATTTCGGGAGTTGCATCTACTGCTTTCAGTCCTAGGAGAAGTAACAGATGAACTAGGAGAGAAAAACGGGGCGGGGGGGGGAGGAAAAAAATTAAGACCAATAACCAGTTTCCTTCAAAGCCTCTGCAATAAGGAATTCAAATCCTTTTATTAATTAAACTTTAATTAATCCTTTCTCTGTATTATGTCTACATATTATTACACTCAGCCTATAAACTGGTATAACGAGGTTTGGAAAGGCTGCAGGATTGGCTTTGAGTCTATAAAAAGTCAGGGATTCTGACTCCTAGTGCTTTAAGTCAATAGACAACATAAGTTCTTATCCCATCATTTATCACACATAATGAGTGTGTCTCAAGCACATCTAAAACCATTTAAAATGATTTTTGACAAATTTGGACTCTTAATTTCAGGTTCAAAGATGTTTAGTTCTATCTGAAACAACAAAAGTAATCAGGTAATGAGCTAACCCGAGGGATGCTCCATGTGCACCTGATGTCGGCAGTCTGGGGTTCTTAGCATTAAACATAATCAAAAACCCATAAGTCTAGATGGATCAAGTACCTTTCTCTTGTACTGTATAGTTACAGAGCTCTTCAGACAAAGGGAACCATGACCTAAATGCTAACTGTATAATTGAATCCTTACAACAGCCACTTACCATAAGTACCTATTTGTAACTGTCATGTATAAGTCACAATATATGAGACTTCATTGCTTTAAGAATGCACAATAAAAGAAAAGTAAAGATCATGGAGCTTAAAAGCAAGGCATAGAAGTTCAGAAGCTTCTCTATCTCAAAGTGAAAATCTCGATAATAACTGGGCAGTGGTGCATGCCTGTAATCCCAGCACTGAGGGATACTGAGGCAGGAAGATCACAAGTTGGAGTCCACCTAGGCAAGTTAGTGAGACCCTATCTAAAAAAAAGTTTTTTAAAAAAAGGTTTGGGGATGTTTCGATTCCTAATACGGGAGAAACAAACAAAGACCTCTAAGATAAGTCCAAAGAGGATTCTGATATGACAGACATACTTGAGAAGTGTCTGGCAGGTTCCTTTTGGTTCCTCTGCTCCTCTGGGATTTGTCCGAAGGCGCCTCTGCGCATCTGTGAGCACTGCAGCACGCTCAGCGGCCCACCGAGCCTCTGCCAGCCGCTGGTATTCCTTCAGCTCGAGAATGGTTTTCTGCTGTTCCTGAAGTTTCTTCTTCTGCTTCTCAATCAGCTGTTGTTGAAAGACATGGCGGTTGTGGAAATGCCCCATGCAAGCAGGTTCTGCATTCTGGCTGGTGGTTTCCAGCTTCTTGTTGCTGCCAGACTGTTGAAGGAGCTCAGCATCCAGGGCCTGGCGCTGTCTACTGTCAGGTGTGTTTTGAGGGACATTCTGAATGGGACCCTGCAAATTACTCTTTGTGGTTCTTCCTAGGGGAGGGTTTAGCATACAACCACCAGTCCTCAAGGGCTTCTTTTTCCCCAAAGCGGGCATGACAGCTGCCTGAAAGAGAACATGTTACAGCTCAATGATTTATGGTACTAGGCTGTTGAGATCATCACCACTCATCTCTCAACATCGTTTTGTTCAATGACACAACTGCCATGCACCTCAGCTAGAGTTTCCCTGAGCTCCTCTTCTGGTGTTTCAGAGGCCACCAGCCTTGCTCTGTGAGCCACTCTTAAAATGTGCACTGCTGTTCACCGTGAAAAGTGGGTGGAAAAGAGCCCATGGCTGTGAGAACCACATTCCAAGACATTTCCAAAAGGAAAAATGTTCTCTTTTCAATTTCTAATTTGGATAGTTCATTGTAGGTTAGGCAGATTATTCCAGATATATATTATGGGAATTTTAATATGTAACAGTTGACTGAATTCTGAATTCTGCAGAAATTTGAAAGTTTTGTGGCAAAAGATATATTCCTTCTCAGTGTTTGGAAACTAAAGAATATATTTACCAGTCAATAGTATCTCTGCCCTTTCAATTCCTCTCTTGCCACTAGTACACTGAAATAATTCTTTACCATAGTACAGCATATGTATTTAGTTCAGCATCAAGGCCCAGTTTAATGCCTGGTCTCATGCTATTGCTAAATTATTTGTGAGAAATATTAAGAAGTCCAGAATTACTAGGCAAATATCTGTATTATAAGAATAATATTACTTGCATATTTTGTATTAGCATATGACTTAACAGTTTTCAAAGCTTTGCCATATAAATTTTATTTAACAGACTGAGCTATCATGCTCAATTACAAGTTCTAGGCAGAGAGGAAAGAAACAAGCATAACTCATTTTAGCAAAACTTATCTTGGCCAAAATAATGTCAAGTCAAAATGGCTCATCTAGTTTGGTTCTCTGATCTAGGATCTGATCAGCTACTGATTCTGCCATACACAATGACAAAGAGGAAAATACTACGACTCATCTATATCAGAAGCTTTTAGATCTAACAAGGTGCAATCCTCAGGTACTCAAAAATATTTTTTTATGATGATGGAAATGCTCTATAGACTTAGCTAAAGTGAAATGTGTGATATATGGAAACTCTGACATGTTAAAAACTTTTTAAAATAACCTTTTATTTCAGAAATGTCAATGGACATTTATTGCTTATATAATTTAGCATCAAGCAGGGTATATGTTTTAGGCTCTTTTAAATTCTGTGGTAATGATATGTTATTAACACAGCAAGACTGTGTAAAAGCCTTGAGCACAGCAATCAGATTTCTTCTGGATTATGGTAACTTTTTAAGGTAAAAATAAGAGCATGAAAGAAAAGCTTAATGGTACAGACTGTACTTAATAGAAAAAGAATGAACAGCCTGGCCTAATTAGAGAAAGTCACCTACTAGTTGACTGATAATTTTGAAAAATTTCAAGGAACAGTATGTGTGTTTTTGGTACATGAAGTCCTATGACTGTATAATTAATGATCATCTAACTAGAAATTTTATATTTTCATTTTACATATTTTACTCTACACTCCGGAAAAGATTTAATTTATTTAGTAACTTACAGAGTCTATTGTAGAGCTTTATTTTTATTTGCTATATATTTTTTTCTTACAATATTATGCTTTTTGATCAAATCTTTTGGATTGCAAAGATTTGGAGACTTTTTTCTTAAATCTAAGTTTTTAAGTCATTTTTTCTTAAATATAAATATAGACATATATATAGATAATATATCTATCTATCTATATATATAGATAGATAGAGAGAGAGAGAGAGAGAGGGAAGGAGACATTTTTCTGTTTTTCACAGGTAAAAAGTATTTTCTGCTGACGTTTTCCACTTAAGATAATAACAGTGGAACTTTGTGAGGAAAAAAGTTCCATACAGCTGTGTCTTAAGCTATAAGTCTCTCCTGTGTCTCAACAGGGACAAAATTATCTAACTGACATAAAAGTAGATAAATTGCTGCCCTAAAGGAAGGGACCAAAACATTACCTAAGTACCATTAATCGTCTACACGATGCCCCTTTGCTGGGAGACTAAGCTTAAATTAAAACCAGCCTATTTGCTAGCAGTAATCAGGATAAAAAAATCAGACTGGGAACCACCTGTCCTCAGTTTATTTCTACACATCTGAGTAAAGTACTTAACAGCAGTATGAATAGGGTGAAGGTGAATGGAGAAGATTGCCAGAAGCCTTTCTAAACAAGACAAGTACAACATGGAAAGAAAAATCTGGTAGGACTGACTTTATGAAAAATTAACAACTATTCATAGTACCAAACACCATAACTAAAGAGACAAATGACAAAATGGGAAAAATGTTTTCAACACGTATATTAATAAAAGCATCAATAGCCTTAAAAATATAAAGAGCTCCTATACATAAGAAAAAAGAATGTACTCAAAGGAAAAACTGGACAAAGGGCATGAAGCCACAAGTTACTATGTATCTGTTTTCTATATCCATATATATATATATATTTTTTGTATCAATTATAAAAATGTTTAACCTCACTGGTAATCAAAGAAATGCAAATAATGAAACAATAATAAGACAAAAATAAAACATGCATTCTATTTTCAAATAGTTATCCTAAGTAAAGCATCATGGATATGTACAAAGATTTAGCAAGTAGGATATTTACTGAAGCACTATTAAAAATAGAGGCACTCTGGAAACAATTTAAATTCCAGCAATAGATCAGTTAAACAGATTCTAGCTTATGGTTCATTATAGAATGTTATGTAGCCATTGTAAAACGATGCTATAGAATGGAAGTCCTTAAACTAAGGGCAGGTATTAGGTTCACCTAGAGAATTAAAAAAAAATATATAGGTATACCATATCAGAAGTTCTGGTTTAAGTGGGTTTAATTCTGAGGTATACTTTCAGTTAAGAACTACTATTGCTGAAGCATATATAATAATATATACTTCATGTTATATTCTAATACTATATTTTGAAAATGCAATTTTTTTTTGGAGAAAAACAAAATAATTACATTAGTATTAAGACAAAAAAAATAGCCTTCTGTTTCCTGAACTGTGGCAGACTAGATTCCTCAATTACCTGGCAAAAGGAAATTTAAGCACTAATAAATTATTAACAAAGACTAATGTGTAGATGTGTGAATAGAGACTACATGGCCATACTTCCATGTTATTAGTGGTAACCTCCAGATGATGGAACTACAGATTATTTTCCTTTTGCTCTGTGATTTTCTTCTACCAAATTGCTACTGTTTTACATATGGCTTCTCTTATAAAAACTAAAAATTTTAAATCATTTTCTTACAAGTCACAAGCTCATTTAGAAAGGAAATGTGTGAAGAGCAAATAAAAGGAGTTTAAGAATTACAAATAATGCTCTATCTACCTCTTCCTAAAGCAGTCTTTCACTCAGTTTTTATAAATTCCCTTTCTAAATTATGTCCTTACCAACTTTTCTCCCAAACTTGGGATGTGATTATTAAAAAAGATTCAAGAAAATAAATACTGCCTGAAAGGTAAACTTTGTGTATGCTAGCAGCCTTAACCTCTGGATAACCCAGGAAGGCAATTTGACCACAGCTGACATGCCCTGGGCTAGAAAAGTGCAGAGCTCAAGTGCAAGTGTTTAATAAACAAGAAGACCAAATGAAGGAAAAGCAATGTACGTCTCCATTTCTTACTGGTAGGCTCTCTCTGGCTGTTGCCTCACGTAGACCGATGCCCGATGACCCATTTGTACTGAGTTTCCCTACAGATGCTGCCTTTAGCAGCTCATCCATTTTCTTCCGGGTTTCCTCCTTTGTTAGAGCCAGTTCTCTCTTTAGGACCTCTGCACCATGCCAACGCTGCCATTCTGCAAAGTAGTGTTGAAGAACCTGTTTCCGGTTATACTCAGTGGCCAGCTGTTGTTTTCTAAGTGACAGAACACTTCTATTAAATAAGGAAGCCATTTAGTTTGTTAGCTGATGATACTGTATAATCAAAACATAACTCCAAAGAAGTCCCAGAAATGCTTCATCTTAGCTCCAGGTTATCCTTTTACATTAAGCTAAATGGAATCGCTTTATATGTTCCCCAGTGCAATGAGCTTCTCCATAGAGGGCATCAACATTACCTTCAAGAAAAAAGAATGACTGTTCTATTCTCTCATGTCACAGAGACATTTTAAATTAATTGCCAGCATATAGTTTCTGACAACTTTTGGAGGGGCAGGAGCAAAAAGAAAAGGTATATAAAATAACTTTTAAAAAGAGGAATGCTTGAAGGAAAGAGATTCAGCTATGGACAGAAATCTAAGAAAGACAGGCTTGGGAGAAGGAATAGGAATGAAACTATATCATCTAACAAATAAGCTGTCAATAATTAAGTATAAGACTTCCAAAAGTCAAAGTAAAACTATGAAGGCAGCTCTTGTGAAAGAATCAGTCAGGGAAGGAAGAAGGACTAATTCACTAACCCTCCTAACTCAATGAATGAGGGTCTTGAGGAGATACTTTCCAAACACTAGACATGTGTGAAAAGCCAAAGCCAGGCACATGCTCATAGAATTCACTCACCCTCTACATCAGTTGATTCTTGGAGACTGTAACGCCAGGGAACCTGACTAAGTGGAATAGGGAAGTGGTATCACTGCCTTTCCAGTGTTAATTTTCACTAGAAGACACTTTGGTGGCAGCCAGTCAAGGTTGCAAGCATAGAGGTCTCTGTGATCATCTCTAGGTAGATGGTTATTATTCTTGAAGAAGTGAGCTAAGAGCTTGGAACTTATGTGGCATCCAGAGATCAGTTTTAGGGTTTAAAATCTAATATCATTTAGATGCCTCCTTGATCCTATGTTGTAAAGTTGACTGGTACACATTTTCCATAACACTGTTTACATATCCATTTCTGTTAAACATATTTAATGCTTAACTATCCTCATGGACTTTTTGGGGTCATATCAAGAAAATCATAAAGTTCTTAAGCCAGTGAGTCAGGAGAACATTTCTATAAGCTCTTCTGACTTCCACTTACATTAAAAAAGTTACACTGTAACATAAAATACAACTATATATATATATATCACAAAAGTATATATACAGTAACAGAAACAAGTTTCACTAAAATAGCATTTACCCTTACTACCAGAGATATACTGGTATCTTTATCCTAGTCTATATTTCCTTAAAAAATAAGCAACTTTGTTCTTATGGTTTAAATATACCCTTCAAAACATGTTGAAATTTAGTTGCTATTGTAGTAATACGAAGAAGTAGAGCCTTTGAAAAGTAATTAGGCCAAGAATCTATTCTCATGAAAAGACAGATCAATGCCATTACTGCAGGATGAGTTCAGCCCAATTTCCTGTAATCATGTGCATGCTGGTTTGCCATTCAGCTACGTTATGACAGAGGACAAAGGCCCTCCCCTAATGCTGGGGCCACGATTTTAGACTGTCCAGCCTCCAGAACCATGAGTCAAGTAAACTTCTATTGTTTACAAAGTCCCCAGTCTATAATATTGTTATAGCAGCAGAAACAGACTAAAACATCTGCTAACAGCATATTTCATTATATTTAAATGATCTTTATAATGCATTGATGATAAGTAATCAAGAAATACTGGTGATTGGTAGTTTTTATAATAATAGTACACGACAGGGCTGGGGATTTAGCTCAGTGGTTCTGTCGCCTGCCTTGCAAGTGCAAGGTCCCGAGTTTGATCCCTGATACCAAAAAACCGAAACCAAAACCAAAAAAAGTATACTACAAGTAATAAACAATTATATGTTATATTTTACTTTAATGGAAATAAATTAAGCACCTAAGATTGAAGAACTTTGAAATAAAAATTTTAGAAGAAATAAATTAGGTAGCAATGCAGTTAAGGACAAAGCTCTAAAAATATCATCATATAAACAGGGAAACAAAAACCCCTATAATACATTTTTTAAGTGTGCACAAATAATAAATTTCTATAGGATGGAAGATGTACATTGCTGTGGCTGATGAATGTAATATTCAATTTACATCATTCTGCTCTGGAAGGAGGAGTGTGAAATTTACCTGATGTGTTAATTTCATGTTTTTACAATATAAACAGCTAAAAGCAGAACTTAGGTGTTGACTGTCAGGGAGATTATTTGGACTCAGAGAGAAAAACATTTCTCTAGGTATAGCAATATTAAAAAGTAAGAAATTGAGAGGCTAACACAATACATGTTTATGATAGTGCTTAGGGCCCACTCTACAATGATTATGTAGGCCATATGAAAATGTAGCTATATTTGTGAGTTGAGGTGGAAGGGCAGAAGCAGAAGCAAAAAAAAATAAGGATTCAGAGACAAGGCTAGTTCATCTCCTGCTCCTTGCAGTTCACTTCAGCAGTGTGACAAAAACATAAATATTTTTGAAAGTGAAAAATCACCTAAATTTCCTAAAACCTTAGTCAAATTTCCTAAATTTGCTAAATTTAGCAAAATTTCCTAAAACCTTAGTCAAACACAATTTACTTGGGTATGTTCATGGAAAACATGGCTCCAGACACAATGCCCAGATAATCACACTATGAAGGACAGAGTTCTTTTGTGGAACACAGCCTGTCCCAGTATGTTTGCAAGCTAAAATCATAAAAAATTTAGCAGGAGTATATAAACTCGATTATCACAATTACATAATTCCATGCAGAGAAAAACTGTCTCTGCAGATCTAAGAGCATAAAATACAAAAGGTTTAAATAGGAAATTAAATATGAACAGTGCAGCCCTGGATCCACAACTCAAGTCATACTTAGAGGTACATAATCTAAAACCTAGAAGTCGGAAGACTGCTAGCTAGATCCAGGACACTGGAAAAGCACTTGAAAGTTTCTAGTCTGCAAATTCATCCTCAAAAATGGTTTGCCAATAAGCCCTACACTGCCCAGCCTACAAGAAATTTTTTTTGGGGGGGGAAATCTAATTAAAAAATTCTGAAATTTCAGAACAAAATTTACATGTAACGTAATAGCATTATCTTAGTACAAGTCTATTGAATATCTGTAGAAAACAAAAACAAAAACCCAGTGTCCTGAATTTTCAAAAAGAGAATGGGAAATACTAGTGGTCTGCCTGAGTGCTGAAATCCGATTCAGAACATAAAAACAGCAGTGACAGGAATAGCTGCATTTGGGATGGGCAGATTCAGCAGGAATAGGAATGAGTAAGCTAATGCACTCAATAATGTACCAGGTAGCCCCCAGGGAAAAGTGGAAGATAAGACAATCTGGTAAAGAGTTTTTAAAGCAAGTCAGGCATTGCCAGTCTGGTCTTCCTGCCTCTCTAATAGACGTATCAGGAGCTTCACCAGCTGCAGATGCCATGTGGCTTCTGGCCACTCACCTGGGTACCCAGGTGAGCACAGAGGGAAGAACAATCAAACATGATTAGCAGAGACACTCCATAAATGATTTCCCCAAAGAAGGTTGAAATCCTGAGTGCTGGAAATGAAGAATATCTCACAACTGAGGATTATAGTAATTAAAGAGTGAGGGGTTTCAGGGACAAAGGGAAGAGATAAAAGCATCTTTCAGGAAAGGCCCAGGGCACCACTGCAAGACAGGGCATGACTGAAGATGCTGTGAAGGTTAATACAGGGAAGAGTAGAGGTGCTTCCCCAGAAGGAACTGAGAAATCAGGTACGGAGGGCTCAAGAAGGCTGGCAGAGGATGTGGAAAACAAACCCTACTTCCTTCCAGTTTTGTCTAGGACTGGCTGAAAATTAAAGGAGGAAAGGAGAGAGGAGGAATAGAAGACCTGTGACAAATTTGCAAAAGTAAACAAGTTAAGAAAATTGAAAGCCCTAAAATTTTGTTACAATACCTGGGTAAATTATTCCTCAGGGTTTGGAAATATTTACTAATGTTGAAATTGTATTATGGTATCATATTGAAATTTTACAACACTATTAGTACAATCATTTTAAAAGAAAAGAGATGGATATAAATAGAGTAGTCACAATTCCTATTAGGGAAAACAAGATGCATTTTCAGAAGAAGTAGGTTGGCTGAACCCTTGGAGTGGAGGTGAGACTCTGCACATAGGCTTGAAAAGAAAAGATGGCTGCTTCATTACGAACAAGAAGAGAGGGATTTGTTGTTGCTTCTTAGAAAAAGTGGGAAGAACAGAAAAAAGGTTTCAAGGCTGAGCCTGCCAGGAGGCCTGTTCCTCAGGCGCAGGGATAAGCCAGTAAGGAGAAACTTCAGGGGGCAAATCAATATGGGTGCAGAAGCTGGAGGAGGAGGACTCAGCTGATATCTAAATAACATAAATAATTTCAACAACCTCTGGTGGATGGGTTACAATCACATGTGTTTTTCCAACCTAGTGAAAACAAAATTTCTGGGCCGGGGATTTAGCTCAGTGGTTCCAATGCCTGCCTTGCAAGTGCAAGGTCCTGAGTTCAATCCCCAGTACCAAAAAAAAAAAAGGTAACAAAATTTCTCCAATGAGTAATCCATTATAATAAACCCTCTCTCTTCCTTAAGCTATTTGAAAGAATGTTTGAATACCCAAATTAAATTGCAGGAAAGCAAGCAATTTCATTCACTCACGGACTCAATATTCAACAAATTATCTGGGTGTCTACTGAGGCACTGGCGAAAACCTGATGAGAACAGTAAATGGATCCTGGCTCCGCTGAAACCCTCTATTCCATATTTCTGCTTGTAATAGCTACCCTTGATGGTTTTTTTCCCTCTACTTTTATTATTCCCAACTATCTCTGAAGGAAATCACTCAACTTAACTTCCTGAAACAATTTCTAGAACATGTATAGAGCCAGAGATTTGGAGGACTTTCTACAATAAAAAGTCTGTGTGGAATAGCTCCTTTCCCCTATGTTTCTGGGGTGACCTGTCACTTTAAAATTACCACTCTTGGATTTTTGCATCTATGT